CGGTTCTTCCTATAGACAAGTAAAAAGGGGAGCACTTGGTTTTCAGAAGTACTGACTGCCCATCTCTCCCACAGGCTTCAAGTGGAGTGATACTAGATTAGAGCCTCTGAAAAATCAGATCCAGTCTGCCTTCCTCAAGGTGCTTAGAGCTTAAAGGAAATCAAAAGCATGCACAAAAGCAAGAACCATTCACATTGGTGGAAGGGTTTCAAAAGGAGGAAGCAAAATGCTGCCTCACCAGCAGACACTGGTGATTTGATAGAGATAAAGAACATGCTTGGCAAAGATGGATTGGAAATGGAGGCAGCCACAAAGCTAAAGAAAAGGAGACCCTGCTCTGAGTGCATTGCTTGCCCAAAGCACTCCTGGGACAGGGCTGTGAAGAAGGAAGAATATATGGAAGGAATGGACAATGGACTCATTCCAGTAACAGGCTGGGAAGGAAGTTTTTTATCAATAAGACTGGATTTTTTACAGCTAGGAAAGGAAAAGCACAAAGGCATTTGCTTTGGAGTATCATATTAAAATCTGCATCCTGCACAATAACAAAACGCATTTTCAGATACTAGAAGTAACTTACACTTGGGCGCTTATGGTTATCACTCACATAAGGTGCCTGATGCTTAAAAGTCTCGTCTCTCAGAGGGGGGGAAAAAAAACCAAAACCAAAACACAAATCTAACCTCTTAGATTTGACCTGACTTTCATACAGTTTGAATTTTGATTTTGTAACTATGTTATCATAGCCCAGGATGCCTGCAACCACAACATTTTCCAAAATGAGAGTAGTTACCTGTGGTTGGCTAGTGGGAATAGCCCAATTATTATTTTCAGTGTGGGGAAGGGTATTTCAGCTGTAAGAGTTCAGACTAAGAGCAATTTGTGATGTACGTAGCAACAGATCTAGAAGGCACAGCTCACCACAGACACATCCTTCCAACACAGGAGAATGAGCCAAAGAAATAACAAATTTGCACGGGTGCAAGCAAATGATCAGCTGAACATGCTTGGGCCTGAGATTTTACTTTAAAATACACATCCAGATCCATATGACTCCCATCCTACACATCAAGCTTCCTCACATCATACATTGTCTCTGTTCCACACAGCTGCCATGGGAAAGGGCTGCAGAAGAGAAACCAAACAGATTAATAGTCAAAGTTATTTGCTTATTGTTGGCTTTTCATTTAAAAAAATATTAAGGGTGGAAATCCTTAGTTTGAATATTTAGCCTGGTTTAGGAGAAGTAAGAGACATCCTCTAATCTCATGTCCCTCTGTTCACCTAAACAATGGCTCTGAATACTTCCCCAACATCCCTTCTTTCTTCTACTTTCTTGCAAGATCAATTTTTCCAAGTCTACAGCTGCTGAAACTAAGGCACAAACAGATCAGTGTCACTGGACATAGGCATTGCTGGGGCACTGAGAATAACCCATTACTCAGATGTCAGGTGGGTTATTTCCAGTCAAATCTTCCTGAACCTGACATTTAAAGAAAAGGTAGATGTGCTTACAGAGTTAACACAGTAACAAGGTGACTGACAATCATTGCCACTGCAAGTGGGAAAGAGCAGGGCCGAAGGACAGGAGACTATTACCCCTCTTGCACTTGTCTCCCGTTTAATTAAACAAGCAAATCGGTAGAGGCGTCAGAGGGAGCAGAAAATGCTCATACAAAACCTGCAATGCTGTAAATTTCCTCTGAAACCCAGCTGGGAGAGCCAGGCACTAGTCAGAAGCAACCCCACTAGTTAAAAACACAAGTACAACACTCAGTCATCTCCAGCCATGTCCAGGATTTACTAGTAAGAATTTAGTGATTTATATTTTTAAATGAAGCTATGAGAATGGGGTAGAGCAGTGAAAGAATAATCCTGCAACACTTATTAGACTTTATTCACCAAGTTAGAGCAGGAAAAAGCAAGGTGTTATTTTTGGCTTTCTAATTAAACTCATTCTAAAACCCTCCTGGTCACCAGCTGGTGAGGTACAGCAGAAAGAAAAAAGAAAAAAAGGAAAGAGGTAATTAGAGGCCTTCCTTGCCTTGACATTGGATAGCTGTTTTTTGGCCTTTGGGTGCATGTTTCCAAATAAAAGGCAGCCCTTCATGATCAGATGAAATAGCAGAGAACAAGACTCCCTCTTTCCACCTCCAAAGCTCCCACTGAACCATTCAAACAACTAGCCCCCCTCTGAACATTTAGTCCCAACAACACAGGGAAACGTAACCTCTCTCACCATGATGCTCCCAGGAAATCAACACCTATCAACTACCAAGGAATAATTAAGAGGGGATAAAAAGACAGCTGCCTTCCCTCTGCTTTTTAATCACAGATCCAGCCCCTTAAGAGATTGCTAGGTTAGAAGAGACTTAGAGAAGATTAGCCTTTTCATTAACGTAGGGGGGGCGAGGGGACACTTTCAATAACTGCCACCAGGTATGTTTTTAGCAGCGAGGCAGGCAGCTTGCTCAAGTAGTACCTCCCTGCCTGGTGTTATAATTGAGGGTATAACTGAGATTAATTCTGAGCCCAGAAAGCACAGGAGGCTTTCCAGAGCAACCTTTCTTCTTTTAAAAAAAAAAAAAAAAAAAAAAAAAAATCCTGATGTAGTCAGGCTGGTGATAAATGTGAACTTGTTTTAAACAATATTTATAATTTTCCCTAATTTGTTTCTCCTACTTGAAGATCTTCAGTGTCTCCAGACATGGATTAGCACCTAGAGCAAGAAACTATTACTGTCTCCATTTTTAAGATCAGAAGATAATAAAGAACTTAAGAGATTCCAAATTCTATTTACAACTCAGAGCAAAAGTAATAGGTTCAGTGTTTATATTAGGGAAATCAAACATGCACTTTTTACTTGGATGTGTAGGTTAAACCTTTTCGTTAACTATGAGAGTTAAGTTGCAGGTATAACTCGGTTGAAGCATTTGATTGTCTCAAAAGTGGTGAGCCCGATACATCCTGTTACACAGCACTAGAAAACACAGGAGTACACGCCCATGATAAAATAGTTTGTTTGCACATTTTGTCACTTTTTGGAAGTGACACGCCTTCAGAGCTGCAATGAAATCATGTTGGCCAGCTGATGCTTTCAATGCACCATTTTCCCACTATGCCAGTGTTACTCCACACTTGCTTAGGCAGAGCTTTTAAAGCACAGACTCTCAGGAATAACCTCTTTTAGAGATGCCACAAGGGAACCACAAGAAAAACTAGAAAGGGTTTCGGATAGGCTGACTTAAAATATCAATCCCAAGGATTGGCAGCTTAGATACACTATTCCACCTAACTCATCAGAAGCTTTCCTCAGAAAAATGAGAACATGGAGGATTTTGTTCCCTTTAGGCACCTCCAGCTCTTCATGGCTGGCCAGTTACAAGCCTGTAGCCCCACTGACACTGCAACCAAGACTGAGCTCAATAGGAAAGGTACAAGTAAGGGAAGGAAATAAAAAATAAAAATAAAATCACACCTCAACTTTAAACTTCCTACATCCATGAAATATCCTCTCTTACAAATCAAACCTTGTGGAAGGAGAAGGGAAAGGGGCAGACACAAGCATGGCAGCCTTCCAAAAGTCTTTGAATGTGGTGCTGATGACTCTGCCCCAGTATTTACAAATGGGATTCAGGGGACTAGATGCTGTAGCACAACTGGTAAGCCCTTTCAGAGCATTTCTAAGGAGCAAAGTCATCTACAGAATACACTTTCCCTAGAGGGCAGCTGATCATTTGTTTGTTATTTAGAGATTTCAAATGAAGACTTGATTTACTTTTAAAAAGTCATTCAGGTATTAAGACCTCAGCATGAGAACAATGTGGCAAAGTTCAACAGCTTTGTTGTTATGCAGAAGGTTGAACTTGGCAAGCAAAACAGCTATAAGCTATTAAATATGTAAAAGATTTATTGCCCTTTTAGGACTCAGAGTCATAGCTATCTTGATAGGAAATAGATATATCAAGCCCTCCTGACAGTCCTGGGAAGCTCTAACTGTTTCAAAAAGATAAGATACAGACCCCTAGGTTTCTATGTAACAGGAAGACAGGCTGCTGCTTCTATTTCAAACAAAACTTTGGAGTTTTCTGTGGGACAGAAGTTTCAGTTTAGTCAGCTTTGAGACAGAGCTTGCTTAGGAGATTTAAAAAAAAAAAAAAAAAGTGTAACTGAAAATTTAACAGTCTCCCACAGCAGACAAATCTCACCACCACCCCTGCAAAAAAATGCAACTGCTTTGGTTTGCCCTATCAATCAGAAGAAAGTTTAATGCATTCTGAACAGCCCAGGCAGAGCCCCATACACTGCCAAGGAATACTAAACCACAACAAGTGTTTGGATGCATATTAGGCATGATGGATTGCTTTCTGAAAGTTTGGAAAAAAAAAAAAAAAACCACAAAAAAGTTAAAATCATTGCCTCTAACTCTATTTTCAACACATATTCATAAAACATTGGCTTTTTACTTCCAGTGCACATCAGCATTCAGCGTGTCTTTATTCCACAATGAAAAGCCAGCGGCATGCTGTTTCATAACTCTAGTCTTTGCTGACAGAATAGCAAATCAGCAAGTATTTGCTCTGTACCATGGACTAAGCCAATAGTTTGCTGGCATATCTAGGTTGACTCCTGAGGTAAATAAATACATAAGTAGTAATAAAAATATCATCCCCACCTTAACAACTCCAGTTGTGCCAATCAGTTGTCTAGGTGCATGCAGCTATGCCAATGAGCATTTGAGCTAGACGTATGCTGGGTAAAGCAGCTGCACAGCAGTGGTGACACAGAAACTCCCCTCAGCATTACATGTTGTGTACACAGCAAAGGAAGTGAGGATGACACAATCACTTTTAAAAAAAAAAACCAAACAAACCAAAAAAACCAACCCACAGCAATTCCAGCATCATCTGGATAATCAGCATCATTAAATATTCCATATTAATCAATAAGAGCAATTCATTTAATGCAATGACAACTTTATTGAAGGAAAAAACCCCAGCACTTGTAAGTAAAGATTTCACTTCATTACAGATGAAGTTGTAAGTTAGGAAAAAAGATGTTTATCAACATAGAAATCAAACAGTGTAAATACATAGAAAAAGCACAACAGCAAACAGAATCAGTAACAGTATAAAACATTGTGGAGAATTTGAGAGTTTGGTTTTTATTGTACAAAACAATTCCACAGCTGTTAAAAAAAATATAGTGTTATCACATTACAGTGAGGCACGTGGTTTTAAGAAAATATACCATTTCTGTGCTTTCTGTCCTGTGTGGTCAGTATTTGCTATGGTTGTAAACATCGGTATTTAAGACAATTGTTTGGTTAAACGTCATCCTCCTCCTCCTTGGTTTTGAAGTCTACAATAGCAACAGTGATCTTACTTCCATTAACACGATTAAGTACCAAAACTAAGCAAGAACTGTTCTCAGAAACTCAGAGACTCTTTCAAACTCTTAGCATGCAGCAAAAAAGGGGTGAGCTTCAAGTGCCCACACTGCTCCACAAGGCAGTTCCCAGAACACAAGTTCCAGACTGCACGTAAGCAACAGTGCCACGAGCCTCCAAATGCATTGCATGCCAGCTGCAATCTACCCACAAGTTACAATGCATCCAAGCCTATCATCCTGCACCTAGCTGGAAGCCATCCCACAGCAGAGTCTCCATCATCCCCCAAACTTGCATAGTAAATATTCACACAAAGCCTAGCACACTTGCTATTTTAAAAAAACAGTTTCTTAAAAGAATTTTGACTTGGTGCAGAAATTTCTTCCTTGGTTTTTGTAACAGCTGATGAACAATCTTATTACTGGAAATACTAAACAAGTTGAAATTGTTCAGCTCATCACTGTAGAACCATCTTGGATAGTACCAATATTCACAGTCATCACACAAAACAGAGCAAAGCTTTGAAGTAATGAAAAAAAAAATCCCACATTTTAATGTATCAAATCTCAGTACTTTGGGAACAGATGACTACCACCCTCCCCACTTCTATTTCTACTATATCTGGAAAGTCAGCTGATCCCAGATATGCACATTTCATGCTACAACTGTATGCTAAGGCTGCTTGGTTAAGGTATGTTATCTGTACTACAAGAAGTAAAACCAGTGGATAGGCAAGTTGAATAATAGTGCGCCTGGGCAAAAAGCACTTTCTGGTAGAACACCAAATCCTACTGAGATGGGCATCCAACATCATACCAGTTTCTTTAGGAAAGTCAGCCTTGAGGTAAGTGCTGTAGGCAACTGAGCAAGGACTTTGGGAAGGAAGGAGCTTTGTGATTTAAACCAAACATGTCTCTATTTGCAGTAGAGCACATACAACAAACATTCCTGCCTTGAAGGACATTACGATAGAAAGCTTCAGAAATGCCCACCATGCTTCCTGCCAAGTGGATAACCAAGGCTGATGATACCAAAACTTAACACAAAGTTTTAATGACAAAAAAAAATGGTATAATGGTATAATCTAATTCAGATTGAAACGGGTCAAGAGGGAACATTCATACATGTTTACTCCCCAATTATGTAAAATCATATAAAATAAAAGTAATTTAAAAAAGTGGAAATCTTTTGCTGCCAAACTCAGCAATAGCCTGAACACAACTACTTGTAAGTAAGAATCTGAAGAGTTTTGTTCTGATAGAGAAGAATTATTTTAAATCAAAACTGCTCATAGATGAAGTGACAAACCCTGAGTATGTTTCACATATTGGCAAGAATATGGCGATTCTCTCCTACTGTCTGACCTTCACAGGAACAGAATACAACACCAAATGGCAACATAAACTCTAGTGGCACTCTGGTGATCCATAGATTTGCCATCTCCCTTTGGGTTCCCTTCCTTTAAGGGCATAATTGCTTAGCCTTATGTGCTATGCAGTGAAATGAAGGTTTGTTCTTCTCTCTTACTGAATAAAAGGCTGTGGAGCTGGAATTAAAGCTTTAAAAAGTATAGGAGAGTGGAGAAGAAAAAAGAAAATCCATTTATATTTACTCACTATCCATTGGTAGTTTCCTAAATTTCCTAATTCTAAGTGGTTGTGCTCATAACAGTCTGCTAAAAGGTTCCAGTTAGCTAGTATCCAAGTTGAAAAAACTAATATTCAGCATACCCAATTCTAGTGTTCCTCTAGAGAAACTGCTAGAGAGTCAGGGTACCACAATCCTGCATAAGCTAGTCAAGGAATAAGCAAAAGGCTTTTACTCCTTCTAATCTAAATTATTCAAAAAAAATGAACCCCAGAAGTCAAATTCCATTATGTTGACTGCTGATGAGCCTGGAATGATGATCCGAGTTAACATAACTTTCCTGGAGAGGGGAAGGAGAAATAATGTAGGCTATACTCATAGCGTTTTCCAGGAGCACCCAGAGATGTTAAAACTAAAGAAATATTGGAATGTAAAAGGAATTAGGCTTGTATTTTGATTGCCCTTATACAAAAGAATTCTGTAAACATTACCAAAGACCTAATAAAAGACTAACACAGGTCCTTTGACAGATGTAAGTTAGGTTTGGAACCTACTCCATGATAAAAAAAAAAAAAAAAAAAAGATACACACATCACCTTAGATACTTGGTTTAGATCAGTCAGTGAAAAGAAGTATCAGTATTCTTTAATTCCCAGTCTCCCTTGGGCATTTAACTAATTCTTCCTTCCAAGAACAGCAATAGTCAACCTAGTTATTTCAACACTAACTTCCAAATCCTAGTGGGGGGAAAAAAGCATCAAGACATAGCACTTGAACATCATCCTGTATAGCCGATTCATCCCAACATCACTGCCATGTTTTCAAGGTGGCATTTTCCATTCAAATGCCTTTGTAACAGTAACTCTAGCCAGCTGAAATCCTCAGAAAGCCTGTTAAAATTTCCCTTTCATACCATCCACAAAAGGGAATTTATTTTTTTTTTTTAGAGGATCCTAACAGCAGGATGGTACTATGCTTTCTAAGTTATCAGAAGGACACTTAAGCATAAGATTGAATTAACTCAGCTTCTAGTAACTTTGTGGAAGCCATAGAATTATTTGCCTTCACTGTGGGCCTATACTTTATTGCCAGCTACATCTAGGTTTTTCCTGCATTAAAATTTTTGTGGTACAAGTCATGGATATGCTTGCCCTGTAAACACAATGCTGTTAAATGACCAAACTCTTGGTAGATGGAGGATGGGAGGCTTCAGTTCATACTAAAGTCCACTGGATAATCATCTCCATAGACACTGACTCTAGCAAGACAGTTTGGTAAGAGGAAAGGTGAAAGCAGTTAAACAGTATCTCACACAGCAGAAGCAGGAATCTGTGCTCAGATATTAAACAACTGACCACTGAAGTGGTTTGGGAGTAAATGATTATACATAGCTCAGAAGATAAAGAGAATGTAGAGTGGCCTTGGAATTTGGATACCAACTGTTCAGCATTTTTTTTTGAGCTGGCAGCTAGATTGTGACAGGCTTTCTTTGCTAAGACAGGCAAGAGAAAATTGTACTTTCTCCTCAAAGCAGAAGTAGTTCACTAGTGTAAGCAAGAGATTTAGGAGTAAAAAAAACTGATTCCATTTACAAAAAAAAAAAAAAAACCAAAACCAAAACAACCCCCAAAAAACGGAAGTTGGGAGTTTTAACATATTTACAAGTTCAGAAGAAAATGTCTTCTCTCCGGCCCAGACTACTTAAACAATAGCACACTCCCATCTTATCAGCAGAGTTTGTCCTTTGAGAAAGGACATACATAAATTCTCTCTTTGCTTAACTATCATGCCCTCAGCTTCACACTGCTCCTGCGCTGGGGGAGAATAGAAGCACCTTCCTTCACATGAAAAATTTCAAAGTTCCTACGTTGTGTGTATTGCTGTTAGCTGTAGGCAAAGCAAAGAACTCTGGTTCCTGGCAGCTAAAAAATTCTATTAACCTTATTTTGCAAGTGCTTTTCCCATGGGAACAAGTTTTAACAGGTGAAAAACGTCCCTTTCATGTATTTTAATGAAACACCATTAGTCTAAACTGAAACTTAAATACTTCATTAAAGATGCAAAAAATTCATACTTACTCCAAAACAGTATTTTCATTTAGAATTAAGTATTTAGAAGTCTCATAGACCTACAATTTGCAGGAGAGGTAGGAAAAGAAAGAATACCAATATTCCATTATCCAAGTCAAACAGTGCAAAGATTAAGTGACATAAGGCTATTTAAAAAACCCAAGTTGTCAGTAAGAAATCAGCTGGAAACTAATTTCTTTTTCTTGAAAGAGAAATTCTGTAGACTGGCATAGTCCCATCAGAGTCAAGGTCTCCATTTTACAGACTTCATGTATTACTTGGGTTACTTTTGCAAAACCCAACAAATACATGATTTTACATAAGAATTATCACAACAAATTCTAGATTTTCTGCCCAGGTCTTCTGCCAGACTGAACTTCATTTGATCACGAGCACCCTGTCCTACAGACACCATTGCTTACAAAACCAAGCAATTGCATACACTCTATTTAACACAAGGAGCTTCTAACAACAAGCTGAAAGGCACATGTTTAAGACAGAAGTAGGAAAATACATGCACAGCGATCTTAACATAGTTCTACTATACTTCCTAGAACTTTGTGAAGCATCCAGTATTCCTGTTAGGACAGACAGACGGAAATACATTTCTTCACAGCATCCCTACAGGCAGGAGAAAAAAAAAAAAAAAAAAAAAAAAAAACAAAAAACAAAACAGAGGGTCACCTCAGTTATGCTGCTTGATGAGATTCATCCCATGCTGCTATCACACTAACACTGAGGATTTTAAAGATCAGCTGACCATTTATTAATTGTGCTTACATAATTTTTAGGACTACATGAATGAATTAGAGACGAGCAGGTCTGCTTACTATGCACTTGCCCAACTACAATGGAAATGTAATCCTGTATTGAGGCGGTGCACTGGAGAAGGCATGCTCAAATACAGAACAGTGCTCGTGGGGGAGAACAGGAGAAAAGGTACACAGAAGAATACACTTGTTAAGTAGCATTTTGGACCAACATTTAGGCATTCCAAAGGCAAGCTTGAAGTTTAGCATGTGGTCAGCACACTTACATATTTTTATAGGAAGCCCTCTCATTTTGTTACATTTCTGTTCTCCCAACTAGAGAAGAGGCTTAGTTTCTTTTTCACATTTAACTACATATATTTCCTCCCCCTAAACACCACCATGGAAAAACTTCTAAAGCCATACATTACAATGCTGCTATGAACTAATCTTCTGTATCATTAAACCTCAAGATGACAAAAAGTAAGGGAGTAGGGAAGCTTACCTTGCAAATGGTATGAAGGAAATGCTGTACCTAAGAAGAAAGATTTTTAAAATTACTCTTCATGTCAGATTTTATCAGTCACAAACAACAACAACCCCTGTGATGCTCTAAACAGGTATGCAAGACACACAACCAAAATGAAGTTTTGCATTTGTGAGCAGGAGGAATGAGTACCCTTGCAAGCCATCTTAGCCCAGCCAGGTTGCAAAAACAAAATCAGGTGGCGTCATATAGACGCATTTTAAACACAGTTCTCCCGCACCCAATATTCTTCATGCTCCAACACCTACAGGCAGCTAAGATTTGTCTTGAGGCCTGGCTAAATGTTTTTATCAGTTTCTGTACTACTTGTGTGACAGTACACAGAGCATATGTTAACTTAAAGAACACTGACACTTAATTTCATTGGCATATCTGGGTCTTTTAGCAAGACAAATTCAGGCGAGTGTAAAAGAGGAATACCAGACAGTAAGCAACATAGAGACCAAGAAGGGGGAACAAGCCAGCTCCTCACTGATGCACTGTCTTGCATCTAGGGGAATGGTGAGGTAAAAATTCTCCTTCTCTCTAACTCATCCAAGGTCAAAATCCACCCACAATTCAGCAACTGATGTTCAGTGCAATGGAGTGTGTGTGGAAGAAGTCACTTACCATGCCAAGGCAAAAAACTGTAAGATGCAGAAAAGGAGCGCAAGTCCTTGCTTACGCCACTGGAGGAAGAGAGAACAGGCCGGGGGGAACATAGCATGCAATGAGACAACAATGTAAGCATCTTATTTTTAAAATACACTCTACTCATATATATATACACACACACAGAGATAGGACTCAAGTACTCACCCAGAAGGCAGAACACAGTGTTAGTATGAGACACAACTAGAAGAAAACAAACATTTTCTATTAAACATAGAAACTACTCCAGTTTTTATAGATATTTTAACACCATAATGGGTTCCTTCACAGAGACAGAAATGGGTTACATCATTTCATAGTTTCAGCCAACCCTGCATAATAGTTCCTCTTACTTAAAATGCACTTGCTATTACATTTCTGAAGTGAATTAAAGCAATGAGAAAAAAAATCAGCCTGATATCTCCAGAAAATAATTTTATGGCTGCAAAGGAACAAGAGGAAGAGATTCCTACAGCTCTTTTGCAACATCAGCAGGTTCTTACTTCATCCCACACACTTCTTGGTGTGATAGGTATACACCACACTTCATTCTTTTGCGTAAGAAGACTTTTCAGTTACAACTCTAGTCTTCCTGCTTCTGTCCATGCCACATTTCCTGTTGATTCTCAAGGTTACCATGGGGTTCAAGCTATGTCATTACTTAATTCTTACCAATTAAAACTACAACACACCTTCAAGAACTTTCAGCTATTGCTTAGTAGCTGTCCTGTTTAACAAAGTCTAGCAGAGCCACTCAAACTGGCACTCCCCTCC